AAATACATTATGTTTTCACAAAAGAATGATATTTGTGATTCAATTACCATATCCTTGACTGGACATGCTGGTGTTGTGAGCTCCAACCGAAATGAAACCCGAGATATAAAATTGAATGTTGAGAGAGGTTAAAATCTTTATGTATAGTCTCTATGGAACTCATTACATTATGTTCTAAAACACCTCTCCTGAAGCATCATCAACGTGTTAGTCCTTTACAAATCCAGATGAGGTAATGTCAATTCCAAAGTCTAGATCAATAATATGAGATAAGGCTTTTAAGGCATCGTTTTCAGCTTCTATTATCAATAATGATGAAACATCAACTACATACTTGTATCATCATAGTAAGATATGCATTTCCGGTTTGATTGGAGTAATAAAAAAAATAACAATATAACATGGAGGTTGATCATCAAAATCTGATCTTTTGCTACATAGCTGTCAATAATCAATTTTGTGCTATTTACTCAAAAATCAAAGTTCTCATGCTGAACTTGAAACTTATTAGTGCCATTTAGTGGTTTGGCTAACACAACACCTAGTAAGTAATGAACGGGGCTTTAATACAAACCTTATCTTAACAAATTTAATTCTTAATCAAAGGCAAAGCTAGTTTAATCCTCTGAAATCACTTTGTTTCAACATTTATCCGCTTGAATGAGAAGGAAGAACAACAAAATGAGTAAAAATCACACTCACCTCCAAGAGAAGCAGTTGTACTAGAAATAGGATTCACAACCGTATGTTTTACACAAAATCGGTGTCATATAATTCGTTAGGAGAGAAGAGCTTCATTAATGGAGGAACTTCTCTCCAAAAATTTTCTACTTAATATTAGAATTTTTCTACATCAAATATCCAACATAAGCTTAATAAACTAATCGAGAAAGAAGCATCAACAATGGAGAATAAGAAGAAGAACATATCGTTTCAGACTTTCAGATCTTGTCTTCTTGACAACATAATTTTGATTTTTGAACAATCAATCAACAATGGAGAACTAGAGGAAGAAGAACAAATTCCAAAATCGACTCATCAAGAATCGATCAATATTCAATCGATATTAGTTTCTGCCGTGAATTCATAATCATGAGGAGGAAGAAGAACAATCGCTTATTTTTGTAGCGTGTGCTAATAAATAAGGAAGAATTGATAAATCGGAATTTGCTGAATTAGGTTAACCGGGGCCCCTTAGAATTGGGGGCCCTAAGCAATGGCTTAGTCAACTTAAAGGTAAGGCTGACCCTGCGTAGAAGATCCCTTCTTGATAATGGAGCTCCAAGTTAATATGCTCAACGTACCACCAGGTACGCCCAACGTACCCGACCAATTCCATTTCCTTCATTAAGTGTTTATTCCTTAAATACCTTTCACCCAAATTCATATCTAGGCCCAAAACATCGCTCTAAGTCATAAAGGTTTCCACCTTTATGACTTCACATGGCTAGAAAATGTCCAAAAGCTAAAATCCTAACTTAACGATCCATTAAGACATCATACTACTTGCATGGAGGGAAAAGAAGGACCAATATCACATTTTTATGATTCCTAATAACTCCATAATGGATACACTTTCCAAATTTATCCATTAGTAAGGTTGTAAAATCGTTCGACGGTAGACTGGTGTTAAGGGATTAATCGGTATTGGCGTGGATAATCAAGGATCAATCGGGGACCATAGATTATTAATAAAATATTAAAATGAATCAAAGATTAATATATTTTAAGAAAAATAAGTACTTCAAAATTAGAAAAGAAGAGAATTTGTAATTTGAAAAAATTGAAAATACGAAAATATGAACATTTTGGTATAATATATGAAAATTTGAAATTTTGAAAATTTGTAGTATTTTTTTTTTAATTTTTTAATTTTTTTTCGACTTTTGTTCACTGATTAATTCCGCCAAACCCGATTACTCCCCAATTTCCGTCAAACACACTAATCCTAGTCGGTTGCAGAACGTCAAACGATTAATTCACAATTAATCCCGATTTATACAACCATGTCCATTAGGATTGTCAAAGCAACCAAGACCTAGTTCTTACGTCTCAAAGAGACCAAAAATGCATTTTCTCAACTTAATCCATTAAGTCCAAGTCTCCGACCTTCATATCTGAATCAAAATAATGTTTAGATGGATAAAATTTTCAACTTTATCCATAACAATGTTACAAGCTTTCAAAATCTAAGCTTTATGCACTAAAGTTACCAAAAAGTGACAAATATGCAAATTAACAAGATCTATGAAACTAATGAGCAAGTTTGAAGCTTTTTACTCACAAAGATCCATAACTAATGTAATATTGTTGGATCTATGCTTGAATCCTTCTTCTATACACTTTGCCACCACCTTGATCTTCAAGATTTCACCTTCTAATGGAGAAATAAGCTCATAAATGACGTCAATGTTCAAGATAAGAGAGATGAGACTAGATTTTTCGAGTTAGAGGCTCAAGAGGGTGAATGCTCATGATAGGAAGGATCCCTAAGGGGTTAGAGACCTTAAATATGGCTTAAAACCATGAAAATATGGTTTTTAATCTGCGGCGGTACGCCCATCGTACCTATAGTTACCCCCATCACAGTGCCCTACAAACGCATTCGTTTGACCTTGTATGCCCAACTAGTAAGAAACCATAATTTGCAAACGAAAATCTCAATAAAAAAGTTGTCGTCTCCTTTTGAACAAACAAACGTACAATTTAGGTTTGGGGATGATGAATTGCCAGGTAGATTGTTATGCACTTAGAGTATATAGCTAACGAGTTATTTTTTATTTTTATATTTATTTATTTATTGTTTTTTTTGTTTGTTTGTTTGTTTTTTTTTTTTTAATTTGTAACATGTGAATGAAAGAGGTCATATATGAAGCTGTCAACAATAGACATATTTGATATAACCTCCAAATGAATTAAAAGCCTATGGATCCCTCTGAATGGTTAGGGAACCTACATTCTTTAAATCATTAATAGTTTGAAATCATTCAACGTCAAACAATTCATTTTATCAAACAACCCCTAAGATATATGTATAGTCTTTGAAATATTATTCAAAAGAGCAATTATGAAAATATTAGACTCTAATAGTCTAATATTATAGAGAGACACAAGTAGTCAACCTGACTACCTGTATCACTCTTAAATCTTTTCATAATTGCACTTTTGAAGTATTTCATAATTGCTCTTTTAACTTGGTTAGGACCAGACTGCACGAATGTAGGAAACTAAAACTTACTAGAGACAAAAGTTCGATGATGATAGATTATTTTTATTTTGGAAGGAAGACACACAAGCACATACTCTAATCTACTCATAAGTTTCACATATATCCTAAATTTTTTTTGAACCCTCGCCCTCTTGAAAGGAGGTTATCTCATCAATTGCTAGATCAAAGGCATGTTGATTCAACGATGATTGACTATGATGTGATAAACCACAATGGTACTAGGTATCATGTTATATATTTGGAGTCCTTGAAAATACTATTTAAAAGTGTAATTGTGGAGAGAAAGTAGATTTTAACATACAAAGAGACATTTAAGACCATGATGCATTAATATGTAACAATAACGTAACACCCAATTTTTTAATACAAACGGTAAAAAGTGAAGTATTATACTTTTCAAAGATGACAAATAAAAAGTGTTTCATTTCATATTATGATATAGATGAATAACCAACACTCCTAATGCTAAGAAAGTGTTTCATTTCATATTATGATCAGTATCATTGATAGATTATAATAATCAATAATAGCCAAATGCATGAATGTTTATTAATTATTAGAACCTTAATCAAAGTGATAGTGTGATAAGTTGCAATTTCTAAAAAAAGCCAACACAACCGTAAGCACCTAACAAACCATGTGTCGTGACCAATGCCCAATAGAATCATATTCATAAATCCTACGTACTTTCTGCTCAAGTTTGGCCCAACTCAGATGACAATTATACTTATGACTTTTGAGGCTATGGGCCCAATATCCGTTTAATGGTTACAACTTACAAATGAAATCATGGTCCATAAATTAAAAATTATTAATATGTTAAACTTGTATAGAAAATGGCATGTAACAATAATTTATATTATTAAAACATCCTTAAAACATGCATGGGTAGTAGTGAAACCCGTTTTCTAAAATCCATGGGTTTAGTCATGAATAACGTATGTTTATGAATTTATTTAAAGTTTCCATGATCTTAAATAAAGTTGTTTCAAGAAAAACTTTAGAAACAACTTAAAAAACCCGTTTTCTAAAACCCGTGGGTTTAATCATGAATAACATATGTTTATCAATTTATTTAAAGTTTCCATGATCTTAAATAAAGTTGTTTCCAGAAAAACTTTAGAAACAACTTAAAAAAGAGAGGTCGACATGCACTATTAAAATTTTCATCCGTTCAATGAACATCCCTTTGGGTTTGCATTGTGTGGACAAAGTTCACCTCAATAAAATACAAATAAGAGTGATTTGTATACATTTTTGTCCAACATGCCATAAATACAAATATTACATAAGGGTCCTTATATATACAAGTCATATTTACATCCTTTAGATTTTTGTAAACATGATAATTTACATTTCAAATGCTTTGACACTAAAGATCCATACCAAAAGTAATTGAACATATCAATGGAAGATATGCTAGAGACATCAGACATATGAGTGAATATAACCGAATCAGAGACTTCTAATTGTGGTGTCAAACAGTTTGAATCTGTTCGAATCGAATCTAACCTCTTACCAGACCTAATAAGAAACATATCAAAGTATCAAAAACACCCTTAGAAAATTAATGCTAAAGACCTAATATCTATCCTATTTTTGGTAATATTTAAATTAGTATTTAAAAAGTTAATTTTGATTTTAATCCATAAATTCTACAAAATAGATACCAAAAAATACGAGGGTGTAAATAAAATTTAAACATAGTATAGGGTGGTTGGTGTAAATACTTGTGAATCCCGGTGGACCGAGACAGTTTTCCCCTGCAAAAATGCAAAATCGGTGGGAAACATATAGATACACAATACTTGTATCCATATATGCTCATCACGCACAACCCCCAATATCCTCGCCTTAATTCGTACGCACATTTTTCGTTAAATCTCTAGATCTGCTCCTCATTTTCTCTTCTCCTCGGATTGTTTCAGGTTTGTTGATTTTTATTTTATCTAATGTACTTGAAGTTCGATTTCAGTTCATTATATGTTGTTTCAGTTGTGACTTGTGAATTATGAGTTGAAGGATTAGTTATATGCTTTTTTCGATCGGTTTTATGGAGTTCGAGATTTGATATAGAGAATTATTTCTGTTCGATTTCTTATTTTTGTTCTAGTATTGTTAATCGTGTTAGATTTACGTCTTCAGCTCGACGTTTCACTACAAAATAGCAGAAAGAGTTAAGTTTATCTTTGTATCTGATTTCTGTTTCTCTCCTACATATGTGGTTATATTAACAGAAAAAAGTTTGTAGTAGTACTCGACTTGGGCAAAGATCATATAATATGTTTTGATGCTTGTGTATGTCGATCTTCATTCTCGTTCTCTTGCCCTCCTTTTAGTATTCAAAATTTTCTCATTCGATAATTTGTACTCTCAGATTCTAGATGGCCATTTCGTGAATGCTTTTTTGATCAAGTTTTCTATAATCATCTTTAGATTCTGTATTTATGGTACTGATTTAATTGGAGTTATTTTGATTTTGGGGATCTTGACTGATTTCGATCGGGATCCCTAGTTGCTTTCGACAGAATGTTGTGAGAAAGTAACCAATCCCAAAAAAGTACTCAAATGAAAACAATGGATTACGTAGATGCAATCAGATCACTATCATTCTGAATGTATGTTGTAACTTATTGAAAAATGTGATCTTACACGCTTCTGTTTTGTGATTTCTTTTATTTTTTTCCTGTAATCTCATTCTTGGTTTTCCTGAATGTGTAGCTTGCAAGTATGACTACACCTACTGAGGCTCCAAAGAAACGTGAATCTTATCAGTCTTCACGTCCTCCTCTTAATGAAAGAATAATTTCATCCATGAGCAGAAGATCAGTTGCTGCACATCCATGGCATGATCTTGAAATAGGTACTTCATTTCATTTCATTTCATTTCTTCTTGATTTCTTACAACATTCAAGAACTGACTTCCTCAATCTTCCAATTCAGGACCTGATGCCCCAACCATCTTTAACTGTGTAAGGATACAATTCAGTTTAGATCAAACTCCAAATTACTGAAATTAGTGGGGTACACCATTTACTGAAACCTGTGTATTCTTTTAGGTGATTGAAATTAGCAAGGGGAGCAAGGTGAAGTATGAGCTTGACAAAACTACAGGACTTATCAAGGTAATGAAAGATTTCAGCTGTTATAACTTATAACTTATAACTTATAACAATTAAAGAATTAATGTTCACCCAAGTTGCAAATTTGTTTTTATCAGGTTGATCGTGTTCTATACTCATCAGTTGTGTACCCTCACAATTACGGTTTTGTCCCTCGTACTTTGTGTGAGGACAACGACCCACTTGATGTCTTGGTCATCATGCAGGTATTTCAACATTTCAAAGTTTTCTAATTTTTAATAAATTTATATATTTGCTGCAATTTTAAGGAGTTTTCTGCACACACATACAGGAACCCATCCTGCCAGGTTGTTTCCTACGTGCCAAAGCAATAGGTGTCATGCCCATGATTGATCAGGTATTCATATGGTCTAACAAATTTACACTTTCGCCCTTTTGTCGATCAAACACGTTTACAAACATTTTATGGGTTTCATCAGGGAGAAAAAGATGACAAGATAATTGCAGTTTGTGCTGATGATCCTGAGTATAGGCATTACACTGACATCAAAGAGCTCCCACCACATCGTTTAGCTGAGATTCGTCGTTTCTTTGAAGACTGTATCCTTTCAGAACTAAATTATATATAATATTTACTATCATATATATATATATATATATATATATATATATATATATGTGCAAAAGACATGAATGCCCTCATCCTATCATTGAAAATAGCCCTAGAAAGCTTGTCCATTTGTTGTACAAAAATGTTGTTGAAGATGCAAATATTGTTTAACTTAACAAATGATAAGATAAAAAGAATGAGAATAAGGAGGTTGCTGTTGATGATTTCTTGCCAGCTGATAAGGCAATCGAGGCAGTCAGTCATTCGATGTAAGTAAAAATCAAATTTTCATGTGTGATATTTGATAAAAAAAAATAGATGAATGAGTAATTAATATTTACTACTAGAACATTCTAATTGATTAAAATCATAATTCAACAAAATTTATATATATATATTCTTGTTTTATGAAGGGATCTTTATGCGGATTACATTGTGGAGGGCTTGAGGAGGTAGATTTACCATATGAGTAAGGGGGCTTATGAGAGAGACTTTATTTTTTTGCTTAATCAAATCATATTGGTAGATAATCTTGTCCTATTATGCATATGCTATTATATGATATGATGGTAAACAAACCAAACTTGATGTGATCATTATATTTGTCTTTTGTCTTGTCTTTTTGCATACCAAATTACATGTAAAGGTACACCTTATTAAACAAGAAATTTGGTGCTTATTTTCATTTGGTTTCATCACACCTCAAATAACCGATATCCTAACAAAATAGGAAAATGATAATAAAAATAGTTTTAAAAATCAAAAGTTCATAAACCTTTGATTTGTATTCAAGAACAAAAACTCAAACAGTTTGTAAAAGACACTTTGTAAATTAGAATTCAAATCTTTTCATTCACAATCAAAATATACAAAAGAAAACAAGGATTACAAAACAAACAACTTTACACTCTTACATGAATGAATGAAAAATGGCTGATTCAACACGCACTAAAGCATTTCCAGTTTGCTTGCAATTTAGCCATCTAACATCGTGAGCTTTCAACTTTAGCCAGCAGCTGCAAACTTGTCCCTTTCAGCCCCTCAACTTTCATCTATTATCCAAAGCAACCCTAGACTCTGCACTAACCATAGTTAGATATTTAATTTTTTAATACTCTCCCTCAATCTTAACAATTAAAGAGACCTATTAAATTCAATTTTACAGAATGAAAATTATGTTCATAGGAGTTCAAAAATTTAGTAAAGCTATTATGTGTTTGAAGTGGAGTATCAATTTTAACAAGTTTAATAACTCAAGAAGCATCATTTTCTCTTACAAATATGCATATGCACCTCTATATGCTTATTTCTTCATGAAGAAATGGATTAGAGGCTAGTAAAATATGACATGTTATCAAAGAACACCTTTCCAAGTCTTAAAATTTAACTCCTAAATCAATAAACCCAAAGAATTTTACAAGTTACAATAGCAAGATCTCTATATTCCGATTCAATCAACAAGATCTCTATATTCCCGATTCAATCAATGATCTAGAAACAGTTGAGTGGATTTTAGTTTTTCCAAGTGATTAAGGAATGTTCCAAGAAAAAGACAAAATCCACCTTCTAGAAAGTCTATATTTGCCTCAATATGCATCCACAATAGCACAATTAAAGTTTGGTGGTGTCTTGATAGGTTTGCAACCTAGCATGTAAAACTCATGTAGCAGATCACCAACACTAGTTTTCAGACATTCAATTTCCCAAAAATTATTTCAATAAACCCATATCTATTAAGAAAGTTGGTCTTAGAAACCCATATTCAACTAATGATTTGGTAAGCTTCTCATTTAATTTCCTAGAAATTTATTTAATCAACAAGACAGCTTCAACATAGACAAGTAAAAAGATGGTAATAATGTTTTTAGACACGACATTAGTTTTTCGCCTACCTCTCACTTCCAACCCTAAACACATGGAATGAAACCCTCTCATCCCTCCCATCTCATATATTTTTTCATTTTAAAAATATTATAAGAAAATTTAAACTAATTATAAATATATTTTACAAATCCATCTTTCAATATTTTTAAAAATAGTCGTTGAGCTCTTTACTCATATAAATACCCTTCATATTTACGCATCTCTCTTCCAATTTTCTTATATATTTTTAACATACATATTTTGTTTACTACAATGGAGCCATCACTAAGAAACTCAATACCACAGAACCATTTGGAAGAAACAGTGTTCGCGAAAGCTTGAATCAACATTTCGAAGGACCTGGGAGTGGAAAGACTTGAAGACACAACTCAGAATTAGGGGGAAGATTGTGGGAAAATAAGTCTGATCTTTAGTTAACCAAGTTTGGAGGAAATAAACGTGGCCTAGTAGCACCTGTTTAGTAGCACATGTTATGCTAATTTTTAGTGAAAACCAACGATATTGGGCCAAACTGATTGATGTGGCCTAACTTTCATTTAACTGAGCAAGGCTACAGGGAAGATTCCTTTTGAGATTGTAACGAGTCAACAACCATTGACATCCCAAGAGCTAACAAAAAGCTAGAAAGGATCAAGCCCACCTGTATACAAGTTTGTAAAGGGGTGGAATGAAGAACTCGACATAGCAAAGTCTTACTTGTGAGGCAGCCAAGCGAATGAAGAAATGAGCGGGCGAGAAGAGAAAGCTAAAATAGTTCATAGTAGGAGACGAGGTGACGGTAAATCTTCCACAAAGGATGTTCAAATCTACCCGACAGGTACACAAAGGCTTAAAATGAAGATACGAGGGGCCCTACAAAGTTATCAAAAATTTCAGGACCCGATCATACAAGATAGAATTGCCATCCACTTAAAAATCCATCCACTATTCCATGTAAGTCTCCTCAAAGCTTACAATCATGATGAAGAAGATCCATCAAGAAGCAAATCACATCGAACCCAGTAGCAAACGTAGTCTCCTATGACAAGGAGGTGGATGAAATCTTAACTGATAGAACGGTTCGCAAACGAGGCTCACCTACTTGGAAAGAATATTATGTTCGATGGAAGGGGTTGCCCGATAGTGAGTCCAGTTGGGAACGTGAACAATATCTGTGTCAGTTCCAAAGAAAAATTAAGGAGTACATATCTAAGACTTGAAAAGGACGTCACAGACTTAGGTGGGGGAGGGTGTCACGATCGAGATTCTAGAATCTTCTGGCGTATCCAAGAAAGTGGGAGAACTTACATGTATATCCCAATAAACCCTGGAGCATCCTAGATTTCTCTAGGACATCGACGAATGATTTAGCATATTTCTTGAAGACGTGTAAATACACGTAGCTTGGTAGAATAATCTAGATTAGTCATGAATGTAAGATTAATGTAGTAATATCTAGAAACTTCCCTAGAGGTGGAAAAACAAGTATACATAGGGAGAACTTGTAGAAAAAGAGAGTTAGGAGAGTGTGTGTCAAAAGTGAAGACCTGCAGAAAAGATGCTATAACACTAAATACATTTTTCTTTATATATCAACATATATACTCTAGCTTTCACCACATCTTAATATTAGCCCATGCTCTACTTTTTTTAACACTCTAGCCCACCAAATATAATAGGTGTTCATTAATATTCAATGAATATTATGTTTATAATTTTTTTAAATATCATGACTCTTAAGAGTTGAGTCTCGAGCTAAGTTACGAGTCAAAAATTTATATTTTCGAGTTACGAGTTAACAACTATGATCTTAAGAGGTTTAATTTTCTAATTACATTGTCTTAGAGTCTAATACGAATGTTGAGGTGTGTTAATAACAAAAGATACTTCAGGTTTATTCTACAAAGAAGAGAGGGGAAAATATGGAAAGTGGCTAGAAGTTGGATGGAGTATGTGAGCAATAAATAGAGGAGGATATTTTATGTTATTCCTCGTCTAGTCTTAATGCTCATTGTAATTGGCTCTTTTGCATAATGATGCAAATAGTGAAATAAGAGATGTAAATTAAGAATACATATTAAATGGATGATCATATGAATGAAGAACAATCAATGAAAGAAGATGATATGAAGGAGCAAAAGATTTCAATAACAAAAAAAAGTAAAATATTGAAACTAGTAACTGAAATAAATAAGTATAATGTTATATATGACAAGATTTTCAAAGTAGTGTGTCTTAATAAGAAAAACTGACTGGCATACTTACTTCCAAAAACATGATGTTTTCGAGATTCAGCATGTCAGGTAAAAGAAACATCAACAAAGTCTAGTCAAACGCATCCATGTGGAGCGTGCTCAAGCTAGTAAGCAAATGCATCACTGGATTCACCTGTTTGTTAATTTTATTGTGGAGACCTTGCATTAAAAAAAACCAATTGTTACCGAACGAATTAAGTTATAAAATAGAAAAGTCTACATACAAGCAAAGATCTACATGTTAGTGTCAATGTTTTGACTGAAGGGAAGGCTTTGATGATATGAAATGGTAAACAAACTAAAACACCAATGAAAGCTTCATCCACAACCCGACTCTCCTCCACAAAAATATGTTTTGATAATGCATACAAAAGGCGGATGTGTTCCAATCTCAGAGTTTTGATAACCAACTTACGTTTCCCAACATTGTGTGACTGTGGCCTAAACTCTATCCTTAATACCTTCGTTGACTTTGATAAAACACGGAAGGCTTTCACAGTCTGATCCATTTCAAGCTCTGACTGTCACTCAACACAAAGTTCTTCCAGTACGGGGCACCCTAAAATCAAATTGTCAAACGCGAATAGAAGATTAAAGATAGAATCAATTTTTTGAGATTTGGAAATGTAACTGAATTTCCATGTGGCACTTGCAATAAAATTCGTCCTTTCAATGTTAAAGATACAAGCGAATTGTATGCTTGGAAGATGTTCCATTTGAATGAATCGAAAAACATTTCCGGTGGAAATGCAATATCAATCTCCTCCACTTTCAGGTTCATGAGCAATATAAAACCATCCATATATTGTGTTGTAGTAGGAAGTCTCACTTGAAAGAACAAGCTGGCTAATAGGGATGCCAGATTCAATACGTTTTGCAATGGTTTTGACAATAATGTCTTCAAACTCCTTGGCCGTCATAGACGGGTACATGATGAGGCGGAGAATGGGGATACGTGCCCATATATCACTCCAACTCCTAGAAAAACAACAGGTTCTACTCGCTTCCTCTCCCCGCATCAAAGAGACGATACCAATTTTCAGTTCCTATGGTAAAGTGCTTATAATGTCTATCTCTCTAGCCATAAATGTTTGTTTTTGCACTCTATTTCATATCAAAAGCAAATTCAAGTATCTTAATATGAGTACTTGACCATTTTACCTTCTTCTTATACATAAAGGTTGTATATTTTTTGAATTAAATCCACTGTCTTATGTGAGTAAATACAATTTAAGTCTAAATACCAATCCGTTCATATATTGAACTTCCAACTATTTAAGTCTAAATACCAATTCGTGGTATTTAGTTCACTTAAACTACTGCTCTGATTCCATGTTTGAAAGATCCACACTCTCATATTTGTGACATTGTTACACCAAAACATGCTACATGCATATTCATAAATAATATTTTACATTGAAAATTTCGATTACAAACGATTGGATACAAACCGACTATTTCAAAGTTTTAACATATTACATAACTACCCAGGATATTAAAGCTTTGTACAAACATAAACCAAAATACAAGAGTAATATTATAAATTATTCTAAATCTTCCAACAGTA